AACTCTGACCTAACGGTCCCTTGAGGGCCAACAAGTGTGACTTAAGGGGCCTTTTTAGGGCGATAAATACGATGAGTATAGCGGCATAAAAATAAAATAAAAAGAAATAAATATGTTATTCAAATGGTCTACTTGTAAGTAAATCCCAGTTAGACTTTACATATTTCATTAAGTAGATTTTGTTATAACGTACTGGGAATAAAGTAGGTCGATCCAGGCAGTAACCACCGAGAACCAGAATTTCAAATAATAAAATAGCGAAAAATCATGCGAAATTTCCATTGTTATAAATCTGATGGTTGAAGATGTCAGCAACTGCGACTTCATAGGTTTTGAAGGGCTAGTGTTGTTCTACCAGTCAGTGAAAGAATTAGATCGATCTGAGCAGTACTCGCCGAGAGCGAGAATTTTAAAAAATTAAGCGATTTCAGGTTGCTTAGTGACAGGTGACGTTTAAACTCCTATAAATCTGGAATGTGAAAATATGCAATGTTGCGACTTCATAGGTTTTGTGGAGTAAGGATTGCTCTACCGGACTATGCCTTAGCCGTACCGATCCAATGAAATAGCGCCGAGATCCAGGGTCTTGAAAAAGCAGGTAAAAAACCGCTTTTTGAACTTCAACAGCTCATAACTTCTTCAGAATTGCATGAATCATGTTGCGACTTCATAGGTTTGATTCTTCTCATCAAGAGCTTTCAGATGATATATACTATGTTTGGGGTTCAATGATTTTTGCGGCTCTAACCCAGGGTGGAGACTTTTCACCCCAAAGTCTCCACTGGCGGTCTCCGGCCAATACATTAACATGGGCGAGGTGGAGACTTTGGGGTGAAAAGTCTCCACCCTGGGTTAGAGCCGCAAAAATCATTGAACCCCCACATACTATATATCATCTGAAAGCTCTTGATGAGATGAATCAAACCTATGAAGTCGCAACATGATTCATGCAATTCTGAAGAAGTCATGAGCTGTTGAAGTTCAAAAAGCGGTTTTTTACCTGCTTTTTCAAGACCCTGGATCTCGGCGCTATTTCAATGGATAGGTACGGCTAAGGCATAGTCCGGTAGAGCAATCCTTACTCCACAAAACCTATGAAGTCGCAACATTGCATAATTTCACATTCCAGATTTATAGGAGTTTAAACGTCAGCTGTCACTAAGCAACCTAAAATCGCTTAATTTTTTAAAATTCTCGTTCTCAGCGGCCACTGCTCAAATCGACTCGATTCTTCCACTATCTGGTAGAACAACACTTGCTCTTCAAAACCTATGAAGTCGCAATTGCTGACATCTTCGACCACCAGATTTATAACAGTGGAAATTTCGCATGATTTTTCGCTACTTTGTCACTCGAAATACTGGTTCTCTGCGGTTACTGCCTATATTGACCTACTACTTGGATATATGCTCTCAATACTTTCTTTTTCGTTTCTTTTGCTCATTTTCCTTCTTTTAATCTTCAGCAAAAATTTTTTTTCAAACCCAAAAGTGAAGGTGGTCACCCGGTACCAGCTCAAAAGTGAAATTAGGCGGAGACTCGGCTCCAACTATCGCACCTCTGGTTGTAAGTGCAGAGCATGAAGCAGTCTTTATTGCGTGTCGTCCAGGCAGACGCGTCGTCCTTTTGTCTGATCCAAAAGGCGCCGTGACACCCTAACATCGTTCTTGCTACCAACCGACGAGACTGGATCCGACGTTAAGGGTTTCTTCCTCTTATTCTAATTGGTGGAGTGATATTCCTCTACAAGAGCAGACTTATTAGGCCTGGAGTGGAGCGGGGACCACTTTGCGATCAGAAAACCAGACGGTGAGGATCTAGTCATTTGATTTTGAAGGCGATATATGCAAATTCCGGCAGAGACTGGAGAGAGAGGACATATGGGTCTGTTATCACCCAACGTTTTACAATTAGTGGAGTCCGTAGTGCAGGGTTTTCTTCTAATCTTCTTGCTGAATGATTGATAAAATTTTTTCGAAAACAGATAAGAACGTGCTTTTGTATTCCACTGGGCAATAGCCCACCATGATACTGGAGTGGGAAGCGTCGGCGACTCTTTAGCCCAATACATTGAGAGGGCGGAAATCTGGCTGGGGTCACACAAAATATTGAAATGGGTTTATGTGGATGCGCTATCTACCTTTATTATGTTAGAGTATCAGGGTGGATATAGATCTCCAAGAGATGGATAGAAAAAAGGGAAAGTGATTCTTGAGGCCGCATGAATTAACATCCCCGCCGGGGAGGGGTTTGCAGCTTATAACAAGCTTCATATCCTGAAGCTCAAGACATCTGCGTTTCCCGCTGTCTACCGTATCAGTAAGGATTACCACCATTCTTATGAACAGGAGCAAGAACAGGAGCAAGAAGCATACATGCCGCATTTTCCAGCTTGTATTACCGCCGGTAGTAGTAGTCCCCCTGACCTAGCGGCATCTTTCGCCGTCAATCGCCGACATCTTTGAGTGAGATCGGCTTGAACATCGAGCTCGAATTTGTGCCCTCTCGACCCTTCTCACCACGTATTTCTGATCGAGGAGGTCATAGTGACCTTAAATAATCTTACCTGGCAACTGAAAGTTCTAAAAACCTCCCTAAACAGAATTGTAGAGAAAGTGCTGGTGGCAGCTTCAGAACTGACCTGGGGCATCTTTCGAATTTCAGCGTTGAGAGATGCCGCTAGGTCAGAGAGTACGAGAAATAGCGTGCTCTTTTGAGAGATTAAGGTGCCACCATTCCGACGTGCCCCTACCATGTCGAGGTGGTGGCACCTTGCTGGCGGAGTCTATGAGTTTGTTGCCACTGCGAGTTCACGCCGAAATTGGCAACTTTTCGTGATGTGCGCCAACTTGGCGGCAGCTTTGATGCCGTCAGGTAAGATAGATTACTACCGGCCCTGATGATCCCCGGCGGCTGGCCGTCTTTTCTTTGAAGTCATTTTTCTTTCTTCAAAGTTAATAAAAGCTTTCTAAAATTGTGCCGATTATCTAGCCCAACACCTCTTAATGTTGCTGCTAAGAACAAGCAATGTACTGGAGTCATGAAATTTTCGATGAACCACAAGTTGAAAGTTGGGGGTTACAAAAAAAATTCGATTACAAAAACTCATTTGTTCTTAACAGAAACATGCTTAGCCCTCTTGGGTTAGATAATCAGTACAATTGTGGAATATCTTTATCAGCTCTGAACAGAGAAAAATAACTTTGAAGAGACGGTCGGCCGCCGGGGATCAATAGGGGTCGTATAAAAGGCTGGAAAATGGGGCTTATAACTTCTCGCTCCTTTTCAATATGTTCTCAGGGAAGGATAGTGGGATTACTTACTGATAGGTAGACAGCGTGGAATCTAGATTTTCAGTGCATGCGGCCCTTAGAAATACGATATAAAGTCCGCTCATAGCCCCCTCCCCCACTACTCCCCAGCGGAACGTGCCTCGTCGCAGTGTGAATCCAAAAACGGATGAATATGTTACCGCAGATAATTCAAGAACGCTAAATGCATGCAGATTTCCAAACATAAACTTTCTAAATCACACCTCGAAAGAAGTTTCAAGAGTTCAAGAAGGCTGATGTTTAGCTATCAGCGAATGATTGTGCCAAATTCAAAAATTTTTTAGTAAAAGTACTTATGAGTGTCCTTCTATCTACACATACATAAAGCTTCATGGGTGTTCTTCTACCTATACATATATAAAGCTAAGTGTTTGTAATGTTAGTTTGTGTTCTTTTGGAGAACTTTTGTGTGTGAACTGATCAACGCTAACTTTGCACACATTTGTTTCTAGACCTCCCCACCGCTACGGCGAAATTCCCACTTCCCTATTAATTTATCGATTTTGAAGAAAATGTCTTATCAGTTACTTTCAAACCAGTTCCAATTTCCGCGTGAACAATAGTGGTAATACTTTTCAACCCACCATGCCGAGGATCCATAATTCAGAGCGATGCCTGTGTCAGGAGTCCCGTGTTAATGAGTAAAAGAAGAAAGCCGAATCGCAGATAAGTTAATCCTTTGAAGTCGCGACGATTTCGCTCGTTGTCAAGCCATCTAAACCCACGTGCGGGCGAAGCCGGGCATGCCAACTTGTACTCAAAAAGAGTGCATTTATCAAAATCTCACAATTAGATTCGAATAATCTATGATCGCCTGGTGGAAAGTTTTCTCACTGATACTCTTTCGACAATTTCAAAAAAACTTTATACGAAAACTGTCAAAAAGAAAATATGTGAAGGGCCGGGAATACAACACGCAATTTCATCGCCTCGTGATTCTCTCAAAAAAGAGAAATGGTTACGAGTCCATTGTATGTAGATCATCTCGCATTTCGGTTGTGATAGTTTTCCGAGTGACTATCCGCGACTGTTACAGCCGAAATGCAGGATGATCTGCATGCAATGAGTAACAGATTCTTGTTGGGAGAATTGCGAGTCGATGAGATCGCGTGATGTATGCCAGCCCCTTCACTCTTCAAGGCACCACTGATCAATTGCAACTTATCGTTAGCTGGTACATATATGTTAACGAACTCCTCTGATGAAGTCCTCAGAGCGTTCCATGTGTTCTTGGTGCGATACGTAAACACTGGTCAACAATCGCCGTACCCACTCCGTGCAACACGATGATCAACGGGGATGCAGGTGATCGTTAGTTGATGAAACGTATCAGCTGGCTACCTTTCACACACTGTTTTCGTTCATTCACCAAATTCAAAGTCAACTGCCCTCAGCAGTGCTTGATGCAAGGAAGTGATAGCTGAAATTTAGAGCAGTTTCTACTTACATCTCTTATAACGTAACAATGTAGCATCAGCGGTACGCCTAGTAAGACTGGCACAAATATCTGACACAACGTCCAAACATATCGTCTCCGAGCAAGTATGAGATTTTTCCTAAAAGATGATCTACTGCTATGGGTTGAGCAGTCATGTTGGCTTCATAGAAAGCTTGATTTCAACGCAATAAGTGGTACTCTTGTCCGTACCGTGTGATAAGAATGAACTGTCTGCCGAACATGAGAAGCTAGGAGTGGTCGCTGTGAATGTGTTGTATAAAATGAAGACTCAACCCACTCAAGACTACTCGGAGAATGTTTACGTTCATAATATGAAAAATGAAAACAGCCGCGATCAGCATGATTATTTTGAGAGGCCACATCTTTTTCGTACCAGGGCCCGGCACGAGGTCGGCAAATGACAAGCTGGAAATCGTTTTGGGGCCAAAAAGCAAAGGGGAAATCGTTTTTGCGGGGTCCGGGGCGGAGCCCCGGAAAAAAATTGGTAGTTCATGCTCGCTACTTATCTTGACATGTTATGTGCCTCAACAGGCGAACACTGGAGTTCGCGCGCATCAAACCGCGCCGTCGCTAGTTGCCGCACACGCGACGTCGCCCAAGCGATGCTATTTGTAACTGCATACATGACTAGTTCTCAATGTATGTGTAACGATATGGCACCAAATTTTGTATGCGAACGGAGAGAGGCTAGTGGAAACATAGTATGAAAAGTTATGAAAAACGGAACGAGTAATTAGCATTTTTTCCGAGAATTTCGCAAAACTGGTAAATGAAGATGTGAATTCAAACGGCTCGTTTGGAACGCGCAGATGAACGATATGGTATGAAACTTGGTAAGTAAATGCACACGGGCTTGCAGGGCTTAACTGAGGAGTTTCATTGAAAAATTATGTGACTGAAGGTTGTGGCAAACTTTTTTCTGAAAATTTTGCGCTACCAAAGAAATGGAAAAATGGCTCGTTTGCAACGCAGAGGTAACGAAATCGCGCGGGTTTCGGTGTGTATATGCGCAATAGGACTAAGTAATAAAGTATGAAATATTATGAAAAACTTATGCGAATGAAGAGCGTGCTTAACTAATTTCCAAATTAGGTCGGCATTTGCCGACCAAATTCCCAGCTGAGGTCGGCAAAACTCTCAATTCACATAATTTTTTCAAAATTTTTACATAAATCTGTTGTACACCTAAAGTTTACTACATGGTGAAATTTTGGTTCCGAAACTCCTCCTCTTATCCTTGTTAGAGTCCAAAATCGCATCAGCAGCCTAGCTTTCTAAGATAGAAAGCGCGCCCCAGTCAATCGATACGCGCGGGAACGGCGTCTCTCATTCCTATGACTGCGTTTCATTGATATTTTCTCATTCCTTAATCATTTTTCTTGCTTATTTTTCTTCCTGTTTTCTATTTTGATACAGCTGAGGAATAATTTGAGGAATTTGAGCAGTTTGGGCGCTTTTGAGCGCTTTTAGGCGAAGTGTGTCGCACAAGCAAGAAACGTCATTTTTGGGCTCAAGGGGGTATTCGTAAAAATTATTGGGATCAAAGGGGAATTCGTTTTGGAAAACCCCGTTTGCCCACCTCGTGCCGGGCCCTGTTTCGTACATACTGCCGTTAAACGATTATACGAGTTTTGCCATAGTTATAAAGGGACTTGATTTACTTGAATACATTTACTGACTCTACTACAAACTCTTAGCTGTTGTAGCTATGGCATTCGACAGTTGCTTCACACGGTAGGGTATTTCAAATTCCTAAAATCTTTGATTTTCATCGAAAAACGGGTCATCATGTAAGATAGCGCGCGCCTAGGCAGCTCGCTCAATCGTAATTTTTTTTGATTCAGCTAAAACTGTAAGGTATAGTAAAATTTGTTTTTAGCTATTTATTATATTGAAACCTACCTACTTCCCATTATACTTTGGAATATTCGAAATTTTTCTCGAATAATCGAATAATCGAATATATTCGAAAATCAGAAATATCGAATAAACGAATTTCGAATATTTTCGAAAATAAAAAATGTCGAATATTCGAATATCGAATATTTTTCAAAATCAAAAATGTCGAATAATCGAATATCGAATATTTTCGAAATGAAAAAATGTCGAATAATCGAATATCGAATAAATTCGGAATGGAAAAGTTTCGAATATTCGAATATATTCGAAAAAAAGTCTCGAATAAACGAATACTTTGTATAAACTATGTCGAATATTCAAACAAATCTAGTCGAATAGTACAAAAAAAGACTCCCAGTAGTATACAACTCAAAAAACAAGCAAGCTGATATATTCAAAATGTAATGCATATTTCTGAACTGTTGACAGATCCGGGTCTGCTCGGTCTACTTCCTCATAAGACTATAGAAGTCAACAATCTAATCCACTGTGAACACCGGTCTTCTGCCTCCACTCTTAAGTGCGCAAACCATTAAAGACAAGGGGCTCATTCACACCTACTTTCAACACCTATTTCGATCAAAGGCTGCGAAAACATCAAAATTAAGAGCGCGATTGTTGGTGTAGTTAGTACTATCTTTTTCCAACACCCAATTTCTCAGCAGCATGCCCACTCAAACTTGTGCACGAACTTTAGCTTCGAAGTCGAGTCCAAACAATGTTGTTCTTTTCTGGACGTTTACATACTAGGACCTTCTTTCAAACTCGAAAAGGAGTTCTCCAAGAGTGAAAGACAAACAGGTTCAAGCTCTCAAAACTTAATGATAAACTCGCGTACTTTTGGATGCCCTTACTGAGTAGTTCCTTCACGAAGATTCACTCCAATAAGTTCCATGTAAAGAACTTCACAAATTTTACTTGCTGGCAACTTGGGCAAACAGAATCAAACAACAAAGAAACAATTATTGCGTATCAAAAACATATGGGTCCTCTTCCTCCAGTTCTTCCGAGTCATCAGAGCATGATTCCTCCGATGTACTATGAGCTGCATTCGACTCGTAGTTGCATTCATAACGAAGGACTTCCTTTTGTGTCCAAGCTTTGCATGACCTAAATAGTTCAATTTTTACAAGTTCAACACATTTTATAAGTTGAAGAAACTATCTCACCTACTGGTTTCCTTATTCGAATTAGCGTTGATCATCAAAAAAAGCCTTGCGTGTTTTGCTGTGAGTCGCCCTCTCCTTTTATTGCCATAGATAATGCCAGCAGCGCTAGAACTCATTATCATTGAATGTACATAAAACATCAAAACCTAAAGTACCTAAACAGCCTTTCGCTGTCTACGGATGTACAAGGCGCGACGAGGTATTCAGCTGCTGATGATGCAAATAGGGGGAACTGAGTTTTGTGAGAGCGCCACCACTGAACTGGGTCTGCATCAGGACTTGGTCGTGCGTCTCCTCGGTTCAGATGTATAGTGTACTGCTGCAACTCCATCTAAACTTCAAGTATTAGAGTGATATTGAGCAGTATCTCAGTACCTGAAGATCTTCCTGTTGCATCTGTGAGCTTCTTGAGGGGGTGCTGGTAGTACTTTGTGTTGTGATCAAAGACCACATATCCGATCCTTTGGGGGTAGAAGACCTTTCATAACTTTCGTCATCGGAGTCCGCTGAGTCAAGAGTATTGCCTAAACCTAGGCATTTTTCATAAAGTTGCAAGTGTAGTGTTTGCAACTCACTTTTACACGCCAAGAAGTGGTCAGCAGTTTCTCGCCATTCATCCCTGTTCAATACGGTATCCAAAAACGCAAATCTAGGGTCGCATAGCGCGGCAAAACGCAGTGGCTGACTGATGAAAAATTTTGCGAAGTATTCCTTTGTGCTACCCAACAATTTCTCGCCAAACTGCAGTCCTTCCCTTCGAGCAGCTGCTAGATTCCTGAAGTGCCATGGTTGTTACCCGATAGAACACGAGAAAATGATGACCCACTCTTCAGTCTTCGCGATCAAGAGTTTTCCTACTGGAATGAACATTGAACAGCAAGACGTTTGATAGCACACCTACATTGCAGAAATTAGACTGATCTCAAAAAGAAAACGCTTTGTTGCTACCTGGTTAGTCATAGCCTGAAACGGCTATAAGAATACTCTCATTGCCTTTAGTATCCGTATTTTCCCATCCTCAAACGGCAGCATGTCACAAGTTGACAGCAATCTTTCAACTGCCGGCATCTTCAAAAAAAATCAACTGGCTGGAGGAAGCAATGCTACCAACATTCACTGACTGCGGCTAGGAAGTCACATAGCATGAAGTATGTACTGGACCATCTAGTTGGAGCATCATTCATTGGCACAACATTCGGGAGGTTTTCTTCGTTCAGAAACCTGAGGGGAAATGCTCTGAAGACAACGAGAAATATTCAGAGAAACTACCGTCTAAACAATTTCTTCAACTTTCCGCTCTTATTTAGCTTGGACACCACGTGCTTCACTTTCTTCAGAACATGCGCGCACATTGGAAGATTAAGGGCAGCCGCCACGGATAAATCAATGACGTGAGCACAACAGTGGATGCTGAATCATGGGAGGTTAAAGATGAGAAAGGGAAGCAGGGCGCCGCTTACTATTGTATGCCTAGGTCGGATGCTGTTTTCACCATAACCGATGCTCCATCAGCAATCATGAATGACACTCGCTCTTTGGCAATTCCGAGTCTAGACAAGCTCTCCAATATTTTCGATTCTACCAGCTCGCTCGTGTGGCTGAACATAGCAAGTAATCGCGAATCCTAAACCGCCCAAAGATAGTATACCTATCCTCCTCAAGCGAGCACAGTCCAACACCACGTTGATTCTTTCCGAAAAGTCCCCTCTCAGGGCATGACCGGTAATCGCAAGCAATGAACATGATGCATTTTTTGACGACCATTCATCGACTGTGATTGCAATCTGTGCATCCTCAGAAAACACTCTTCTGTTGTCGTCATCAATGGCATCAACTTCTTTTTGCATCAGCTTTAACAATGTTTTTGTGCTTGGCGTGGCATAGGACGGGTGAAGTGATCGCAAAAGCTCCGCGAAGGATGGCAACTGAGTGACGTGTAGCGGAAGAGATGCTTTTGCAAGAAAAACTATCAGCTTTCGATCGATATCCTCTTTTGCAGCTTTGCCAATTTTCCTTTTAAACATGTCCTCAATTTTAGGTTGTTTCTCGCGTTCGTTTTTGTTCAGACTCGCTCGTTGCTCAAACTTCTCCACTTCCGCCTTGTGTTTGCTTCTAAGGTGATGCAGTAGGTTTGATGTTGTCCTCGTTTTTGGGATGAAAAGTGATTTACCGCAGAAATTGCAAACAGCAGTTTCTGCGTTGCATTCCACATCAACTGCTTCCTTAAAGAAGTTCCAGACTGAGCTCATCTGAAAATTATCTTGTTGAGTTTATACTTGAGATATTTATGGTGACATATAACCACTCTTCTTTCATTTTTGTTCAGAACTTGCAAAATCTACAACTCTAGTAACCAAGTTATAAGCGAATCAACCGCGCAGATTCGTCGTTGCGAGCAAGCGAAGTACGGTGAAACTCTTGTCCCAGTTACCAGAATCATAGTACCAAAAGAAAAGAAAGTAACTCCGTTTCAGTTGAGTCAGCAATCAAAAACGCAGTCAGCAAACCACTGGTACAGTAGTTCTTCTATGAAAAGATGCAAGGAGAAAAGTCATTACAAAAGCTTGTGTCCAACAGCTTAGAAATACGCAGTGCAACCGTGCGAGTTCACTAACTAACCAACTGCCGTGATGTCTTGGATGTCGCGTTTCCATACATAAAAACTTTCACTGAACGCTTTTAATGTTTAGAGAAGTAAAATGGACAAAGTTTCTGTAGAAGTATTAAATTTCAGAAATTGCGCCCAATGAACAACGTTATATGAACTCGTGTGGTTGTAGAGTATGCGCGTTTGCAAGAGACAGAATAACTCTACGACAATATTACTGTATCTGTCTGGCTCAATTTGACAAAATCGCAATGTGAAACAAAATTGAAAGTGGCCAATCATTCAGAGCAAAAAACCGGCACTTTTCGAGTTCTTTTTACTTATCTGTATGCTTCAGCAGTCATCTACACATTGTGCTGTTCTTACATTGCAGCGCAATGTGAGCACAGCACGGCAATGCGGCTGCATTGGTTTCTTGAAGCCGCGTGCGAGCAGATGCCCACTACATTCAATAAGATTATTAGAAAGGATAAAAGTACTCACCGGAGTGGTTCGCCTATGTGGTCGCGGAACGGCATCTACAGATCTGCAAATGCAAACGTTGAAATTCAGAACAGCATAGCCTACTACTATCCGGTAGCTAAAATGTTTGTACCTGTGTTCATTTGAGGTGGTCGCTATAGTAGACGAGTCGTCATCATCGTGAAGGTCACACCTAAACACAATGAAACAATTAGAATAAGTAAGGTAAAATGATAAAAAGCTAACATTTTAATTTCCTCGGAACAATCAGGCTCCATCAGGCCTCTGCTACGCTCACCAAAGCCCTAAAGCAGCATGTGATGTAGTAGGGACAAAATAGGCATAGAAGACGGCGCAAGCCACGTAAAATACGCTCTGACCGAAGTACCCTTCAAAACCCCGAACAGCATTGTGCCAGCACGACGCTAACACAACGCTGACATTGTACTGACTTTTGGGTCAAGTGGTGTCAGATGTGCACCCTTGCAGAATAAATTAAATGATAGAAAAGTAATAAAAAGATAAGAATACAATAGGAATAACAGTTTTACCTGTGCTTTGCTTCTTCAAAAGTTGCTGAGGTTGATGCAATGTCAGCCGGCAGATTTGTATTGTTGAGCAAAACTGAACACAGCGTGGTCAGAATTGCGAAAGACCTTTCACCTTAGAACAAACATCGAGCAAAAACCATTTGGCCGCAGTTGAGCAAAAGCGGAAATAACAGAAAGGAAATATTTGAGTTACCAGATCTACACTTTCAATGGAATCAAGTGGTTTCCCGACCATAGTAGAGGCTAAAAAACATAGCTTCGAGAGCGGAAGGTTGTTAAGTATAGATCCTACAATGTCCTTAAATCCTACAACTACACGAAGGTGTTTGAGAATGAGGAGAAAATAAGATGGTCTGGTAAAATACTGCGCTCAAATTGGACAGCATCAAAAGTGTTCTCGAAATGACCAACCGCACGGACTGGCCGCACATTGCAGACTACGCGCGCCGCGGCTGTGATGTCATGAGAGCACAATATGTGCAATAGCGACTTGTATTAATACAAGCGATTGGCCGCGGGCGCGTGTAACGTAATTTACGGCCGGTCCGTACAAACAACGACTCGACATTTTCCGAGTGGTATATGAAGCAAAAAGGGTTCATTCTTCAACCCGCTCCATGTTCAAAGCTCTTATCAACAAAAGGGTAAGAGCGGGTTGGAGAAAGAACGGCTACGCTTTAGTGGAGAAAGGAAAAAAGCTGAAAACGCCCTCAAAACAGAACTCCTCAGTAAACAATCTCAATCTCCGCTTCTTGACAAGTGTCATCATGCCTTCCGAAGGACTGGGGTTGTGAAAATGCGCAGAGAATATAGGGAACATTTGATTTGTGGGCGAAAATAATGATCACAGAATGGATTGGCTCACAAACTACCGTCAAACCGATCGCACGGAATGGCCGCATATTGCGTTCTTCCTCCAACCCGCTCTTCAAAACTCCTGCTGTCAGAGGAAGAGGGATAGAGGACTAAGAACAAAATGAAAATAGAGAGAAAACCTGCAAACGGTCGAAAACGTGGAGAACTCCAGCAAATCACAGACATAGCGAGTTGGCAACAGCGCAGATTACGCAATCACATTCAACCTACAGTCATTCACGCGTAAACAGGGTGGTCGTGGCGAGACCGACTTAGGAATGGCTTGTGAATGCGAGAAAACACAATTGGAAGGGGGAAAGACACAAGAGGACACCAGCAAATAGAGCATATAGTTATTCGATTACATGAAAATGTCGAATAATCGAATAACTTCCGAAATTAAATATTCGAATGTTCGAATATATTCGAAAAACAAAATTTTCGAATAACCGAATAATCGAATAAATTCGAAAATGACAATTTTCGAATAAGCGAATATCGAATATATTCGAGATTTTAAATTTTTCGAATAATCGAATTTCGAATAAATTTTATTCGAATACTTTATTCGAATACTCGAATATTTATTCGATTCGGTCCAAAGTATACTTCCCATATAAAAAAATCGTACTGATTTTGTGAACTCTTGAGTGTAAATGAAACAGAACATTAAATATAAACCACAAATTTAAATCTTGAAACAAGACACTTTCAATCGTTGTCAAATACCTAAATTCAAGGAACAAAAAGGACCTGCAAGCCACGTCAAAGCGAAAAAGGTTCTAAAGGTCCTGAAATTTTTATGAAATTTCTAAGATTCACTTTGTATTTCTGAAATGCAGCAACCACAGAAGCATGAGAGAGGCATAAAAGAGGGCCTTTAAATAAGTGTTGAAATGCGCAGAGCATGGCGAAGCCAAAAAAGTGCGCGTCCGTTGAATGAATAGGTAATCCAGGGTTTTGAGGTTAGTGTGAGACGTGGATTAATGTCCTCTTGAAAAGAAGAGAAAAGTAGATAGACGACTTAATTAAAAATTTTCCAGAGTTATTTCGTGTCTAAGAGGACACGGAGAGCGGAGTCTCCGAGTAGCTTGATGCGTGTGAAATCTTCCACTTTTTCTAATGATAACATAGGATTGAAGAAACCCTGGAAAAATATTGGTACTCTTTATGACAATCAATCAACATCTGTTAGGTTAAACTGCCTTTAGATAGGAAATCTATGTAATAAGCAAAGCTAGAACGCAAAGGTATCTGTAATATATGAATTTTTCATTGTGCATCAGACCTTGAAGAGTTCAAAACTTTTGGAATATGCATTTCGCAAATTCGTGTTATAAAAACCACAGAAGGGCAAATTAACTACCGTTCCCTTAGAGAGCTTGACTGTATGACAGTTACAAATTCAAGTCATTATCCACCGAAAAAGTGAAGAATGCTGCAGAATCAAGCATCTGTTTCAGTAAAATCTTGATGGTAATTGGGTGGCTATTCATGGTATGGTTAGTTCCTTAAGGCTGTGCTAATATTTCACATTTTTCAAATTGATTCGAATCGATTCGTTTGTGGAAAGAGAGCAATGTTTTATAACAATCTTCCCTATATGCTCATATCAGGTTTGCTCATGATTAACTAGCATTTGACTTTTTCCATGCTCCTCTATGAACAAGCGAGGTATAAAAGCCTGTTAATTAAGCTCGATGAAAAATGTCTTCATATTTCCTTATCACTTCTATGTTACGGTAAGAGAAGCGTTTTCCAATTGTGAGAATAAAGTACGTTTCTAAGAAATCTGCTTAGAACTCTGGTTTAAGAAGTGAATTTCATGGAAAGTTCAGCGCTAAAGGGTTCAGAATTGAGGGCGTCATCCACTCACGTTTTTGAATTGTCTTCCGGAGTCGCCGGGTTCTGATTCCGAATATGAAGTTGGAAAGAGCTAGTTTGTTGACACATTAATAAATACACACATAAATTTTGAGTGTGCAAAAAATTTCTCATTTGAGCATGATTTCACCTTTTGCATTACATTTCATTTGTGCTCTG